AGATTAATAGAATATTTAGAATTATTAAAATTAAAAGAATTAAAAGGATTAATTAGATTAACAGAGTAATTAAGATTAGTAGTATTAAAAAGATTAATTAAATTAGTAATATAGTTAAAATTATTAGAATTAAAAAGGTTAATTAAATTAGATATAAAAATTTATACTGTAATATATACAGTCTAAACAGAGCAGTAATTATATATTTTTATATATATTTCTTACTATAAAAGTAATAATTTTATTAAAAGCTGGAATTTATTAGTACTACTAGAAATTTCTTATTATTTTTTTAAGATAGAGATAAAAAAGATAGTAATACTTTGCTTAATTATTTTTATTTAATCTAAAAAGCTTTTTTTTATATGCTTTTAGGTAACAGTTATAATAATTAGATTAATAATCTGTTAATTTAAATATATTTTAACTGTGCTAGAGCTAAAAAAGATATAGTAAATAGATTTTAATACTAAAAATAGTTAAGATAGTTAACTGTCTGATTTTTGGCTATACTGCAGTTAGATATAAATATTTCCTTAACCTGGCCATAACCTGGCGGTTAGGTATAAAAATTCCAATTAACCTGACCTGACCTGGCCGTTAGCCACTCTACAAGCTACCATACTTAAATTTGTAGGCTTAGAGGCAGTATCCCACCACCTGTATAATTTTGTAATTTAGTAAGTTCTGAATAAGAAGAGCTTGGTCACAGAATTTGTTAAGATATATAGGATAAATAGGTCAGGCGGTAATCTGATATGTATATTATAAAAATTCTAATATACTAATTTTCTGTAAATCTGTGACGCTCTTAATTTTACTTTTAATAAAGAATAATTTTTTATAAAAGTACAATTTGACCTAAAATTCCGCAACTGTAACTTACTTAGTATATAATCCTTATTTTTTTTATATTCTTCAAGCTTATTTTTCAGAAAGCTGAGTGATAATAAATATCCTGTAACTAGAGTATATATAATATTAGAAATACTGGCAGAATAAGATACAAAGACTAAAATATATATAAAAGATTAAGTATACAAAATAGTCAAGATAGACAGAGTAAACAGAATGGATGAAGTAGGCAGAATAAATAAAATAGACAGAATGGATAAAATAGACAGAATAGATAAAATAAACAGAATGAATAAAGTAGGCAGAATAGATAAAGTAGGCAGAATAGATAAAATAAACAGAATAGACAGAATAAACACAGTAGACAGACTAGACAGAGTAGATAAAATAAATAAAGTAGACAGAGTAGACAGAGTAGACAGAATAGATAAAGTAGACAAAATAGATAAAATAAACAGAATAAACAGAATAGATAGAGTAAACAGAGTAGACAGAATAAACAGAATAAACAGAATAAACAGAATAGACAGAGTAGACAGAATAAATAAAGTAAATAGAATAAATAGACTGGACAGAAAAAACAGAATAGATAAAGTAGATAGAGTAAATAGAGTAGACAGACTGAACAGAGTATAAAGTAGATAAAGTAGATAGAATAGATAGAATAGACAGAATAGATAAAGTAGACAGAGTAGACAGAGTAGATAAAATAGACAGAGTAAATAAAATAGACAGAGTAGATAGAGTAGACAGAGTAGACAGAGTAGACAGAGTAGATAGAATAAACAGAATAGACAGAGTAGAGTATAAAAAAAAGCTAAGCTATAACAAAATACAACTAAAAAGCCTTATTTTACTTACAGTTATTTAATCAAACCTATTATACCTATAACAAACCGACAATCTGCATTAATAGCCCTTGTATAATTAAAATACTATAGCTACTTAGAAAAGTAGTAATATACTTGTTATTATTATATAATACTGTTAATTAAAGGTGTTAGGATCTGGACAAAGTAGTATTATCCTTAGGATCTGGTTAAGTAGAAATAACAAGGCGCTATTTAAAGCCCGTGCTTTTTTTAATATATATAGTACTTCTTTTAAAAATCAGATTAGCCTCCACTTCCGCAATCATAATCTAAAAAATTGTAAGTAAGTAAAAGATTCTAGCCAGCCATAGTATGCACTGATAATATATTATCTTATGTATAACAGCCCCTTCTTAATTCTGATATCAACCTTTCTTACTTAATCTTAAAAGAAAAGAAATAGTCATTAAAAACAAAGACAAGTATATAAGTAAAAGGTCTTATAGAATAGCGAAACAGTCACATATTATCCTAGTCGATAGTATTTATATTAGTCATCAACCTTGAAACCAAAATGCATTCCAGTGACCGGCAACAAATCTTCTCCATGGGGACACAAAATATATCTCTTAATTTTGTATTACATACGATGGAGCACCTCGGCTACTTATATGTTGGCGATTAAAAACCGTCAGCAGAAGATGCTGCTGAGGTTGATACAGTCTTTAAAAAAAGCCTAAAATTATCTATACTATAGTTTAAGTTCTATAAAAAAAAATAAGAGTAAAAGCTTTTTAATGTCAGACTATAAAGTATATTTTTGGAACTCTGGTTCGCACACTGTACTAAAAATAAAAGTAGTTTTGTAAGATAATTAAAAACAGATTAAATATAGACAACTTTTACAATCTAAAAAAAGTAGGAACCTGTAATCATAGAGTTTAAAAAAATACTAAGATTAAGCAGTTTATAAGAGCCCATTTATTATATAAAACAGTTTTAATTTTCTGTTTTTTATAGGATTCTGCTGGCTGGGACAACAGCCTATTTAAGCTCTTTATATCTTCCTATTATTAGAGTAATTATAAATTTAAGTACTATTTAAATAAAGATATATATAAAGTAGTTATAGATAAAAATCAGTACTTTTTTATAGATAGAGCTTTATATATTAAACTATCCCCTAAGGGGGGGGGGTTCAAATGGTCTGGCAGAAATTCTTAAAACAACCAATATCTAGTAATATTAATAATCCTAAAAGGCTGCTATTTATAAAGATCTAGTTCTTTTTGCTTTTAGATTTAAGGGAATGTTGTTTAGTATAAGAGAAACTTCTAGATATTAAAAATATTTAGATTATGCTTAATGTTAGCTAATCTAAACCAATATAAATAATACTAGAGTAACTAAATCTGTTTTTTCTTATATAGCCTAATATAGTTTAAATAATCACTGGATACACAGACTGCCAACTTCCTAATATTAGGAAAGAAGCCGGTGTTAACCAGGCGGGCTAATTCTGAAATCTTAGGATTATAAAAGTACAGAAACTTAGGCAAAGTAAGTACTAGTAATAGTAAAGCCCCTGGCACACCTATATCTCTTTTTATTTAAAGGACTTTTTATCTATTATTAATCCAGTCTTAGATTTAAGAGGTATTAGATAGGCCATACTCTTATATAAAAATCTTATAAAGACTATGATTTTTGAGTTTTTTATATAAGTCTTTTAATATTAAGACTTTACTTCTGTTTTATAGCCATATCTTGTAGCCTAAAGTAAGATATCTTATTATAAAAAAATATTTAAACAAATTACTTATAATTAGCCTATAACTTATATTTCTTTTTTTTATTAATAGAAAAAAAGTTTTTAGATCTGTTTTTTTTTAGACTTAGTCAAGCCCTGCAAGCACAGCGCTTTAGTTATTTTTAAATAATATCTATAGTTTATTTAGCCTTTTTCTTATTTTATCTAATAATTTCTTTGTTTCAATAGATTGTTTAGCTTAACTTTATTATATTACTATTTCTAGCAAGCTTAAAATCTGCAGTGTATAACTGCTTAGGAGGGAGTATGAGAAGGACGGATATAACAGCAAAAAATAGATAGTAAGAGTAAAAAACAGTAAAATCTGACCAGTACGTGCTATACGCGGAGCCTTTAGGATACCGTAGCTGGTAAGTTATTTGTATATAAATTGCAGTAGCTGTGGGGTTTTATTATTGTAATTGGTCTTGGTCTCAACGTTCTTAACTAGGAAAGGTTTTTCTATACATACTTGGGTTAGTAATACTGCAATTGGCCCAGCATTAAGTTAGGATAAAGCATATTCTAATTAAGAGATATAAAGGTTTTTATGCCATAAAGCCAAGATAAGAATAGTATACAGTCACTTAACCTATAAAGAGTTAAGCGTTTCCAGGCATAGCGCTGTTGGAGGTGAGGTTTCGTGTGAATACCGAGACTGATATCATCCGATCTTCTATAACTGTCATAGCCCGCATCGTCGTATCGCACTCTTCTGTTGTTTGGGTGGCCGATGTAGTCCTCCATGCGCCGTGGGTCTCTTCTCCTGCAAATCCTGGGTCACGTTGCAGGTGGTCTGCTGGATGGTGAAACGTACGGAAAAGTCCGATTGTGAGCGTCTTTCATCAGACCTAGACCGGCATATCCTTCCATAGACCAATTGACTCGAGTAAGTGTCATCACTGTATCCCACGCTTGCTCTTGTACTGCGTGATCTAAGAGAGCTTGATCCGCACTGCTTAGCTCGGCAACACTAACAATCGCCCCCTTGTCGGCTAGAAAGTCTGCGAAACTATAATTCGTGTCTCGTGGTGCACCATGCGGCCCGCGCTGGGTCTGCGCCGTGCCGAAACAGCAGCTGAACTATCTCCCACCACCGACCTGTTCCATACTACCGCGCTTGTGGTAGGAAAGAACAAACTCCCAGAAGACATATCGTGAATGAGATTCTCTACAAAGCCAACCCACCGCCCTGTGATCGGCTCTGCTACACTGTTCATAGGCAGAGTATAACTACTCAGATGCCGTGCCTATAAGGGATACCTATAGTGCTTCCCTGCTATAGAAGGAGAATTGAGACTGATATTTGTTGGCGCCGGCTCTAGAATTGATCCCTGCCCACTGTCAGAGCAGAGTCATTTCGTCGAACAGGGCCCCCTTGGTGCAATGTTCATGCAAGGGACCATGGCAGTCACGTGGTGTCCAGGCATCTCCTGTCGCTGCCTACCCCAGGCTTCACTAACATGTGTTTAAAACATGGCACATGGTTTCGTCGTGTAGATCAGCCAACTTGTGCTACATTTCCATAAGGCCAGTTTCCATCGACCAGCAATCCGAACTACCAGTTTCAGGGCGTGTTGAGAGTCAACTAACTCCGCTCTTTATGGATGTCCCACCAATTTTACGACTTCCAACAGAGATTCTAACTTTCATTTTTGAAAATGTGGCCTCTGGCCACTACGACACCTGCAGGGTCCTGCAGAAGTTTGCGTTAATCTGTCGTCGCCTCACGCAGATCGTACTACCTCTGTTATATCGTGACGTGTTGGTCAGAGTGGCGGCCGGCAGCGCCCTAGAAGCTCTGTTGGCCGTGCTACAAAAGCGGCCACTATACCGTGAAAATGTTAGAGGACTTGTGATTCAGATGGACGATCGCATTGGCATTCACAGACGAAACTTCTATATTACGTCCGATATTATCACCTGTGTCACCAATGTCAAAGCCTTGACCTTTGCTGGGGGCTGGGAGCGTTACCCAGACCAAACATGGGGCCTGGTTCACCGGGCATCTCGGAGCATGCCAGCACTGGAGATTTTGTCTCTAAGGCGTCAGGGTGAAGGCCTGACCGTGCAGGACATACTTGAAAATGTGCAGATGCCCAGCTTGCGTCAACTGAAACTTGATGGAATTGCTTTTCAGACCCCGGGGCGCACTACGAGGGCAGAGAGACAGGGGAACAGGCCCTCCTGTCTACCGGATAGTACGAAGGGCACTGCTCAGTTCTCCAGCCTCCACATTCAGGACTACTATGATACGTCCGCGGCATTCCAAGAGCTCATTCTCTGGCCTAAGACCTTGATCCATTTCGACGCCTCGATCTTGTGGAGTAGCGGTCTGGGATACCAGGTTGATCTCTCGATGCTCAGTACATGGCTCTTTGCCCACAAGGACACCCTACAATTCATTTATATCAGATACATTGAATCCTTACCTTCAGGCAAGCTTTTTCAGACTAGGGGATTTGTCGCCTTGGAGCGCCTAACGCTGCCCTGGTGGGAGATCCGTAGTTGGCAGCAAAAGGATGAAAGAGACCCGCCATTCGTCTTCTTGCCCGCCCACGCGGACGCTCTTCTCTGCGCGCCCCGTCTCACGACCCTCAATCTGGACTATGGCCTGAGTGTCCACGGTGTGGATTTCTGTGACACGTTTGGGGAGGTCGAGGCCCGCTGGATCCTGGAGTTGGCCCGCGCGGCATGGGCGAAAAAGGCTGCGCTCCGGACGATCTACGTTGGGTACAGACCGGAGCCGCATTGTCTCGACGAGGTTCTGGAGTATCCGTGGGACCGTCTTACCCGACTCCGGGAGGATCTCCAACCGCTAGGAATCAGATTGGAGTGGGATGAGCCGTCGTTCTCGGAGGAGGAGTGGATTCAGGCGCGCATGCAGGCCTCCCCGCCGTGGGAGGCAATGCGTGGGAGTGAAAGTCCCCCGCTGGATGATGGGATGCTGTTTGGTTGCGAGCTGTCGAAGGATGGTGAGCCCAGTCTGGAGGAACAGGAGGCCTGGGAGTACGCTCACAAGGCAATCAGATAGAAAAATTAGCTACATTTCAGAAACAGATCTTTACAGTATTTGCTATTGGCTGGAGCCCCAAAGTTCTACTTTCCTAGGTCTCTCCCAGTAAACCTACGTGAGCATCCATCGGGGCCTTCTTCCACCGGACACCATTCTTCATCATTTCATCTATCTACGCTGTATATCTAATCACTCCAGCTTAAGACCTGGGATATTGCCTGCCTCAAGTCTCGACTGTAGTCACAGTACAGAACGACAGCCACGGTGGTCCTCGGTATTGCGTTCATTCAGCTCATGGTCGCTGTAGCCTCAATACTTACGGGCCACAGCCGTGGAGATGAAGGCTGCACAGAACTTGTCTCAGTCACGTCTCCCAAGTATGGTACCCTACCCAACAGTTGACGGAAATTAAGAAGACTGTAGCCATTCGTCCTCATTATAATGAGTTGTAATGTGTTAGTTAGCTCTCACGTTACTATTCTCACAGATTCTGAACACATATCTACAAAAGAATACCCCAGTTCCGGTTACAATAGAAGTCTGTGTACTAAGTTAAGACAATATATTAATATATTACAAGCTATTGTATAAAAACAGTAACTAAGATCATGTTCAGGGTCTGAAAATGTCCAAATCCTTTCTAGAATTAGCTTGATGTGGTTTCTACCAGGGCTACAGAAACACCCAAAGAGTGCGAATAATGACACCAACTTCCGGCAGGACTTGTACGTCTTTATGTATTGAGATTAGAAGGTGCTGGTGCTTCTAGATGGGATGAATCAGCGCGATGCCAAGCAATACTCGGTGGTACAAAGAAAGAATCCAGCGCTCTGTGCTGAAGATAAAGCATGATTTTGTAAGTAACTTACTTAAGATGAATCTTGGTCAGGTCCCTTGACAATACCCTTTTGTCTAAATTACTTTCCTAATCTATTAGATGATAAGACTGTTACCGCGATGAGCAGTACTTGCCTATTGTTATACAATTTATTTATTGTTATAATAAGAGGATTATAACTTGCCTGCTGAATTACAAGCCATATGCCATATATACATTTACAAATATTTATAAAAGCTGTATAATATACAGTATATTTAAACTATTAATTTTTCCTATAAAAAAACTTATTTTATAGCTTTAGTTATTACAAACCATTTGTGCTTACGTTCTGTTAACAATCCTATCCTACAAAGCTTAGAAGCCTAAGTCTAATACAATGTTATTTCTACTAAATTAATTTGTAGATAAGGGCTTTAACGATTAAATCAAGTCTAATCCCATACTCTATTGTAAATAAATTAATTATAGCTAAAAACATCTGACTAAGAATGGCAACAGACTTGTTGCTGCTAATAACACCTTCAACCAATATTAGACCACCAGCCGAGATAATGGCGAAAGCAGTATTATCTACTACAGAAATATTAAAAAAAAAGCTTATTTTCTGAGAAATAAATATATACTTTCTTAACTGGAAGATCGGGTTGAGGTTGTTTTCCTTTAATAACTTTAGTATGTCCTAATTGGGAAATATTTCTGTAAGTTGTACAGAGTAATTATCAGTATAAGCAGTTTTTACATTTAACATTTTTATAGAAGATAAAAGAATCTGAACAGAATCATCCCCTTGCTGAATATTATAAAGGCAGTTTTTTTCTATTCTTTAAACAACAAATTAGCACATTGGCTTCGAGATTATTAGAAAGGAAGTTACTCGCTACTTTAAGCAAGAGCTATTCTGTATCTGAAAGACAACCAAGCTCAGCATTAAAGTTGAGCAGATATAGGCAGAGTCCTAAGGGTTGCGGAGAGGAGTTAAGTTAATTTAGCTTTGTATAAAAAGTAGAAAGCGCAGAACTTTCGGGCAGCAACTCGGCGACTAGAAATTAAATATAATTAGTGCCCGCCCCAAAATAATAGCTGTCTTAATTATTCTGTAGTATAGATAGTAAGTATTAGCATCAAGAAAGTAATAGTTCACAGTTAAAGAATGTAAAGAATAGGTAGTGGATTCCTGTATAGCACCAATACGAGGGGCCAGTATTATTATTACTGTATGTTTAGCAGAGCTTCTAATTTCTCTATTACAACTATCTGTTTATTAATAAGGTATATTTTAAGTTGTTATTATTTCTTCTTAATGCTATAAATAGAGATTTTATAAGGCAGCTGGCATATTTGTATACTGTATGTTTGCTTTTCAGATATAATATAAACAACCGGCAAAGCCAAGTCCTTTTGTATAAGAGTTATACTGTAAGCAGTAACTCTCCCGGACCAGAAAGTTTCCAATATTCTTATTAAACAAATTATATTTATTAATTTTTAATAATAATTCAATTAACCGGCAACTATCGTACTTACAGTTACAGGACTTCCCGCCGAGTAGTAGCTTACAGTGTAGATATTTATATGTGATCTAGTAAAAATTATTGTTTGTCATTTCAAGGCCATAATAACCCCGTACTGGATAATAGATATGTCTGAAAGGGCCATCAATCGTCAGATAGCTATTTGCTCTTAGTTGTAGATTATCCCATACAATATCGTACAATATTCGGCAGGTGCTGCCCATTACAGCAACAGTCTTGTCATCTAATAAACATAGTAAAGTATCTCAGACGGGGCTGTAGTGTAAAAAGGCCTTGCCACAGGTCGGGTTTGGGTCCAACATCAGGACCTGTACCTATGGGTTGGGTCTGAATACTGGACCCAAGACCCGAACCTGCTAACCTATAGGTTGGATATATTAACCTATAGGTTACCTGCTAAGAATCTATTTAAGTATAAAGTTTTTTTTTAGACTATACTAAAATATATAAAATTTCTAAGTAATTAAAACTTATTTTTGTTTTTTTATTTTATATTAGTATTAAGATTTTATAGTAGTAGTTCTTCTTTTTAAATTATTATATCTATATAAAATATATCTAAAATCTGGTTTATACTAAAGCTAGCTTTTAACTTTACTTATAAATAAAACTACTAAAAATATTAAAACTAAAATATTAATATTATTAGTAAGATACTCTTTATATACAGCTATAAATATATATTTTATAAAATAAGCAACTCTATAAAATTATTAGATTAAATAGTTATCCTATTTTTTATATCTTTTAATTTATATTACTTAATAAAATATACTTATACTATATTCTATAGGCCTTACTTAATTAATAAACCTTTTTAGATATTAAAGTATAAAACTAAGATATCTGGTTTATCTAATCTATCTAGTTTATCTAGTTTATTTAGTTTATTTAATCTTTCTACTCTTTCTGCTTTTTTTATTTTTTTTATTTTTTCTGCTTTTTTTACTTTTTCTACTTTTTTTATTTTTTTTATTTTTTTTATTTTTTCTGTTTTTTCTGCTCTTTCTGCTCTCTCTAGCCTATATAAACAGATTAAAAGGGTTTTTAGCGGATAATCTATAGGTTTTTGTCATGGGTAATCCCCGAGGGCATGTTGAACCACCAACGGCTTGCCCATGTATCCCTAACGGAAGAGTTGTGACGTCAACAACTTAAAAACTCCCTCCAGTATTTAACTCCTAGAAACTTGCTATGCCTTCGGGATAGCAAGGATTAGTCTTGAAATCAATAGACTGCTACTATTCTATACCTAACTGACCCATTTTCCCTTAACAGTTTTATAGATTTTTAGTAGATAACCTATCTAATCTATAGATTACCTATAGGTTATTTATTTATTTTGTAATCTAATTAGCTTTAATCTCTTACTGTTTTTAAACAGGTTAACTTTTTTTATAATAAGATTAATATAAACTATTAATATAGAATAAGAGTATTTCCAACCCCCCCTTTTAATCTAAAAGATTCTTTTTTTTTATAAGATTATAATCTTACTATTAATTATTTATAATTCTCTGTTTAAAATATCCTAGTTTACTAATATCTGTTTATTATTATATTATAATAATTATTTAGATATTTTAAATAGCGACCTGGTTTTTTTCTCTAATAAGATTATACCTAATCTTTTAATCAGTTAATAGAATACTATATATATAATAAAGTCTGTGGTTAATTCCAACTTTTTCTAACTAGTTTTACTACTAAATCCTATATCTTCTTCTCTTAATTATATCTGTTTTAATTATAATAATTATTATATAATTTATTTTAATACAACTGTTAATAACTATATTACTTAGTAGCTTTAAACTAATTTTAGTAGAAAGCAATAAATATAGTAGAATATAAAATATTTTTCTAAAATCTGGTATTATTTTACTTAAGTAGTAAGGGCTTTAGATGGTGTTCTAAAAGTAATATATAAATATTATAAAAAAATATTAGACTATTCTAATTTTAAAAATAAAACTTTAACTATAAGAAAATATATTATTTTATATATAAAGTAAACTAGAACTTATTATATTTAGAACTTTATATAAAAAATATATACTATACTATTCTTTTATCTTAGTAGATACTAATATAAATAGTTTTATATAGATATTTAAATTCCAGCCTAGTATCAAAGTTAGCTAATTAGACTAGAAAACTAGTATTTTTTAATTTATTACTAAATTATAATTACTATTTTAACTTTTTAAATATTTAGGATTTTATAATTTTATTTCTATTACTTAGTAAGTACTAAAATAGTTTAAGATTTCTTTTATAAAAACAGTACAGTACTAGTTATAAAATATATTTTTTAAATACTACTAACAGATTCTAAATAAATTTTTTAAAAATAGTAAAATCTTACTAATATTTAACTATTAGATATTATTTTTTAATAAGCTTTTATAGCAGTAACTGACTATTTTATTAATTATAACTAAAACTACTGTAAAATACTTTTTAGATTTAAGCTGCTGTATAGATTATATTTTAAAAATTATTTAGACTTTGTTTTACTTTAGTTATTATAGTAATATTATTTAATAAACCAAGTTCTTACTATTACTACTAATAATATTTAAAAAACTATTTAGATATTAGATCTTTATAATAATATAGTAATTATCCAGGTTTTTTATATAGCTTATATTATTTAGTTAAGCTTAAA